GCGGCCCCCGCCTCCCCCGCGGGGCTGCCTCGCGTCGCCCCCCGGCTACCGAGCGCGGGCCAGCGGGAGCGGGCGGGGCGGCTGAGCGGTGCCGGTGCCGCCGCCCACCCGCGCCGTGTTCCCGCAGAGCACCAGCACGGCCGCTACAACCCGCTGCGCGACGACTGGGTGCTGGTGTCGGCGCACCGCGTGCGGCGGCCCTGGCACGGGCAGCTGGAGCGCCCGCCGCCCGAGGACGTGCCCCGCTGGGACGCGGCCAACCCGCTGTGCCCGGGCGCCCGCCGCGCCGGCGGACAGGTACCGCCGCGGACACGGCCCCCGTGCCGCCCCCGGCACCCCCGGCACCCGCCGTCACCCCCTGTCCCCGCGCAGGTGAACCCGCCCTACGAGGGCACCTTCGTCTTCCCCAACGACTTCCCCGCGCTGCAGCCCGACGCTCCCGAGCCCGGTAAGGCCTCGCTGGGGGCGGGCGCGGGGCTGCCCGCGGCTCCCGTGCTGCCACCGGCCCCGCTCTCCTCCCGCAGACGCCAGCGACCACCCCTTGTTCCGCGCGGCGCCCGCGCGAGGTGTCTGGTAGGTCCCGTCTGGCGGCGCCGTGGGGAGCCTGTGTCCCCTCTGTGCCCGGTGTCCCCTCTGTGCCCGGTGTCCCCTCTGTGCCCAGTGTCCCTGTGCCTGATGTGCCTGTGCCCAGTGTCCCCCATATGCCCAGTGTCCCCCCTATGCCCGGTGTGCCCGTGCCCGGTGTCCCCCATGCCCAATGTCCCCCCCTATGCCCAGTGTCCCCCGTGCCCGATGTCCCCCGTATGCCCAGTGTCCCCCGTATGCCCGGTGTCCCCCCTATGCCCGGTGTGCCCCATGCCTGGTGTCCCCTGTCCCCCATGCCCGGTGTCACCCCCTGTGCCCAGTGTCCCCTCTATGGCCAGTATCCCCCCGCTATGCCCGGTGTCCCCCCCTATGCCCGGTGTCCCCCGTGCCCAGTGTCCCCTCTATGGCCAGTATCCCCCCGCTATGCCCAGTGTCCCCCCCTATGCCCAGTGTGCCCCGTGCCCGGTGTCCCCCCATGCCCAGCGTCCCTGTGCCCACAGCAAGGTGATGTGCTTCCACCCGCGCTCCGACCTCACGCTGCCCCTCATGGCGCTGGCCGAGATCCGCGCCGTTGTGGACAAGTGGGTCGAGCTGGCCGAGGAGCTGGGGGCCACGTACCCCTGGGTGCAGGTGCGTGGGCGCCCCGGCGGGACGGGCACCGAGGGGCTGCCCTGGCGCTTTTGGGGTGTCCGGGCGCCCTGACCTGCTCTTCCACGCGCAGATCTTCGAGAACAAGGGAGCGATGATGGGCTGCTCCAACCCGCACCCCCACTGCCAGGTGAGTGCCCGGCCCGCGCTGACCCACGCCCCACGGGACCCTGCAGCCCCTCGGGGGGGGATGGAGCCCACGCTGCCCAACCCCGGGCTCTGGGCCCGTCCTGCAGGGAGGACCCCCCTTCCCGATGCCTCTCCGGCCACCTCCTCATTTGGGGACAGTCCCAGGCTCTCCGCCTGGGGGCAGCACGGGCCTGCGAATGGGGAGCCGGGCTGGGGCACCCCTGTGTGCCAGGGGCTGCAGGAGCCCCTTCCTGAGGGAAGTGTGGCCGATTATCCCCCATGGTGCCCCCAGTCCTGTGCTTTCTGCTTCGGGCCTGTCCCTGCAGGGGCACGGAGGCTTTTTGCTCCATACATCTCATGGAAGTGCCCACCCCACTCTGTCCCTTGGGAGAGCGAGGGGTCCTGACCAGGGGGAGGGCTGTGGGGCAGGGCAGGTGCCATAGGGTGGGCACAGTAGGGGCTGGGGGGCAGCTAAGCATGTCCTTAAGCCCTGTTTCTCTCCTGGCAGATCTGGGCCAGCAGCTTCCTCCCGAATGAGGCCCGCCTGGAAGACCGGACGCAGCGGGAATACCGAAGGCAGCATGGCGTGCCCATGCTGCTGGAATACGCCGAGCAGGAGGCTCGCAGGAAGGTGGGGACGGCTCCGCGGCGCCCTCCCTGCAGACCTGGCCACACGGACGTGTGCTGGGGTGGGGGACAGGACGGGTCCCCCTCTCTCGGTCCCCTGGGTGGGCTCCGTGGGGCGAGGGTCGTGCGCGTGGCCCCGGCGAGTGGCGCGTCCCGCAGGAGCGGCTCGTGGTGGAGAACGCCGACTGGCTGGTGGTGGTGCCCTACTGGGCCACGTGGCCCTTCCAGACGCTGCTGCTGCCGCGCCGCCACGTGTGCCGCCTGCAGGAGCTGCGCCAGCACGAGAGGGACAGTGAGTGGCTCTGTCCCCATGCGGCGCGCGGGGCCCTGAGGAGGACCCTGTCGCCAGCAGCCTGGCTGGCGTGGGGGGTCCCGCACCCTGTGGGGCAGGCAGGGTTGTTTGGGTGGGAGTTGGGGTCCCCGTTTGTTGTCCTCTGCGCTGGCAGGTGAGCCTGTCCCCTTCGACCTCCCCATCACAGCACAGGTGGGGAGAGAAGACAGAGTCTGGGGTCTGACCATTCCAGTGGGGAACTGGGACCTGTTTTGGGGGTGATGAAGCAGAAGGCACCCAATACCCATGCGATGGTGGCTGATCAGCCATGGGTGCTGCTCCAGGCCCATCACCTGCCCCCTCTTCATGTGGGTGGGCAGCCTGGCTCCCTTCCCTGTCACTGGTGTCCCCGACAAGCTCTCGTGGCAGCTTGTGGTGCTGCTGCCCAGGAATGGGTGCAAAACGCCCCAGCCTGATGTGCCACCTGCCTTCTACCCTCACGCTTCCGTTGCAGGCCTGGCCTCCATCATGAAGAAACTTCTCATCAAGTATGACAACCTCTTTGAGGTCTCCTTCCCCTACTCCATGGGCTGGCACGGTGAGTGCCTGGACTGGGGGAGCCCTGGGACCCTCTTGTTCACCCCTGGCAGGGCATCACACCCACTGCTTGGGCCAGGCTTGCTTTGCTCAGGCTTGTGGAGCTGGGGAGGAAAGCCAGGACTCCAAGGTCTCTCCACGGCATGGGGAGGGGAGAGGACACGGTGGGTAATGGGGAGGCTGAGAGCCCACCAGTGGGATACAGCAGTGGGAAGGCTGTGTTGACCACCCTGCCTCAGTTTCCCCTACCCATGGTGTTGACTGCTTGGGGGGCTTTGAGCACCAGGGTTATGGGGCACAGGAGTGTGCTCCATGGCCTGTTCTCTGGCTGTTCTCCCTTGGTGCCCTGAAGGCTGTTGCACTTGTGCCCTTGGGTTCAGCATGGGGTAGAGGGCCATGTCCTCCATGTCCTGCATCCGCCGTGGTGGGGCAGGGAGCCCGGCGTGGCCTCGGCCCACGCTCAGCACTTGCACCCCTGGCAGGAGCCCCCACGGGCCCCCACCTGCAGGAGGACTGCGGGCACTGGCAGCTCCATGCCCACTACTACCCACCGCTGCTCCGCTCCGCCACCGTCCGCAAGTTCATGGTGGGCTACGAGATGCTGGCGCAGGCGCAGAGGGACCTCACGCCGGAGCAGGTGGGGCTGGCGCCGGGGATGGGGCCGCGCCGCTTTCCCCGGGGCTGCGGGAGCCGTGCCAGGCTCTGCGTGTGCTCTGCCCCTCGTGCTCTGCCCCGCAGGCTGCCGAGCGCCTCAGGAGCCTGCCCGACGTGCACTACAAAGAGCGGCCCGAGGAGGCGTCGTGACACGGTGCCCTTGGCTTTGCACAGAGGTGCCAGGGAGAGGAGTCACCGCGTTTGTCACCCCTCTCCTGTCCTTGCCATGGCTCCTTCTCCTGAGCCTTGTCGCAGCTGGGCCTGCCTTTGGGCCAGGTTTGCCTGCCGGAGCACAAGTAACCCGAGCTCTAATGCTGCTGTGTCCATGTGCAGGTGATACCATTCCTGCTGCCTCCTTCCTCATCCTCCTCCTGCCTCCGGAGTGCTGTTACCGGCACGAAAGGCCTTACCCTCCTCCCAAACCAGTCCCTTAGTGGCGCAGCCGGCAGTGATGCCGGTGGGTTTGCCTGCCCCACGGAGGGACACTGCCTCTCCGGCCAATAAAACCCGTAAGCAAAGTGCTCCTGCCTGCGGCCTGCTGGCTCTCGGCCCCGGAGCAGGGGTGTCTGTTCCGTAACTTCCCAAGGGGGGAACAGGAGGCGGGTGCAAGGAGGTCCCAGGCCTCCCCGTGCCACCTGCTGCTGGCTCTGGCTCTGCATTGCCTCCGTTCCCTCCCTGGAGGGAGCTCTGAGCCTGTCCCTGAGAGCGCGGTGGGAAGGAGCAGCACGACAGGGAGGTTTTTGTGCCGCTCAGGACTTAACGGTGCCCTCTCCAAAGGGGCTGAGGCGGGGAAAATCCCTGCATGGAGTCCCCTGGTCGCAGCTCCCTGGCCGAGTGCTCGGGGCCGCTGCCCTGGGGCTGAGCTCGGGGCTGCTGCTCGTCCTCCTTGCTGCCCGTAGCGCTGTGGCTGCCGCCGCGGCCCGCGAGTGCTCAGGGCTGCAGCGACGATCAGGCGCGAGCGGGGCGCGGGGGGCCTGGCCCAGCTCCTTGTGCTGCCAGCCCCTCCGGCCCCGCTCTGGGGCTGGGTGACCTGGCCCGGGGCTGGCGGGGCACTGCGAGGAGCCCGGCGGGCGCCTGCTCCCCCTGCAGCCCCTTCACCCTGGGGCTCGCAGGGCTGACGCGGGGTTGGCACCGGGGCTCATTGGAGGGTGCAGGGGGGAGCCTCAGGGGCCTGCCCTGGTGAGGATGCTCCTCACATGGTGCTAGGTGCTGAGCACCATCTGCCGTCGTGTCCTAACGTGGGGTTTTATCTTATCTTATTTTATCTTATTATTTTTTGTCACCAAAGATGTGTTTTCTCATCTCCCCAGTGAGGCCTGTATTACTGTAAAGTCTGTAATTGGTCTCCTGGGGGCTAGAAATATCTTGCAAGGGATTGAATATTCTCCCCCTCAGGACTGCTTTGCCACTACCTACTAAACAACCCTCTCTGGGAAGTGCCATTTCCCCCTGCCCACAAGGATACCAAGTTGGATGTGGGTGTTGAACCCCCTCTTCCTCTCCTCCCCATCCTCATCATCAGCCCATCGCAGAGCCAGTCCCATCACCAGGCTCAGACCTGCCGGCATCCGGGTGCTTTTCCAGCATCCCGGGAAGCTGTGGTTCCACACCGTGGCAGTGGGCAGCAGTGCATGGACCTGTGTAGGTGACTCTCAAGCTCAGAGCCATCGTTTAGCGCAGGGACGGGAGGAAGGGAGATACCGCAGCTTGGAGCCAGGCTTTCTGCAAACTTTATTTTATTGTTTCCTGGTACAACTAACTGGTGCCTGTGCATGTTTGGAGCACTTGGAAGTGGAGAAATGCTGCAGGGCTCTGCAGTTCATTTGCAGCCACTGTCCCTTCACGAGCACATTTGTGACAACCCAGCTTCAAATTTGCCCGGCTTTCCCCAGGGCCTGGAAAAGCGTCAGCGAAGTAGCTTAAATATGGGAATGCAGATTGGGGTAATTAACCACTGAACTGGTAACGAAGCTCGTCATATCTCCCTGCACGCGTAGTTAGCTGTGATTTAATAGGCCACCAGCTCCGAGCCCGGTCCGCATCGCGTCAACCCAGAGCCGTAAATGAACCTCGCAGTAAGTCAAGCAGTATTAAACTTTACAGCCGCCGTCTTTAAGAACGAGGCACTTTCCCTAATAAATCACAACGAGTGGGACTGTAAATATCAAGGCAGGATCCATATTGCTTAATTAAACAGTGCCTAATGAATAGCCTGTTTGTTGCGCTGTGATTTAGGATGGGACGCAGGGAACACAGGTGCCCGTGCTGGGCTGCCGTCCCCGCTGCTGCAGATCAGCTGCTGCTAGAGCGGCTCTGAGCTGCTAAGGAGTGTGGGCATTATCTTTATCATTTATTTTCTCCCCCAAAAAAGTGTTTCCTGCCATGAAAACTTCAGAGGTGGAGTCACCTGTAGCTTTGAGCCTGGGAGGAGGAGAAGCGCAGGGATCTGGCCTGGATTTCCTTGGGAATTGCAGCAGCCGTGAGAGCCAGACTGGGCTTCAGGATTGCACTGAGCTTCCCTCCGCTCCCCGCGACAGGCGATGGATCCGCTTCCACTCGCTTGGGTATTTTTAACGTGTGTGAGGGGGTGGGATGAGCCGGGAGGGAGCGTTGGAGCAGCTCCCCGAGGCAGGGAGAGGTGCAGAGGAAGCAGGCGGATCCACGCGCCCGTGATACAAGTGCGGTGCAAAGCACAGGAACCGTCGTTGCTTTGCTCCGAAGCCTTTTATATTTGGGCAGTCAACATGCAAATGTTCTCAAAAATAAAGTGGCAGGGCATGGGTGGATTTACGAGCAAGAGATTAAAAGCATCCTTGATCTGCTGCTGTCAAAGGGAACCTGCGGTTGCCAGAGGTGGATCCTCCTGTGCACCCCCTGCTCTGTGCAGCCATGAACCCTAGGAGCCGCCTTCTCTACAGCCAAGCCTGTTGGGAAGGCAGAAGCCACACGGCCACGTTGTTGCAGAAACCTTGTTTGGGGTCTTTAACACTCATACCAGCGTGCTGGGCTGGGATTTCAGCATGAGAAGCAAGTCTGTGTTGGGGATCAGTGCTTGGCACTACCCAATCCCTAATACCAACTTCATCATCCCAACAAGGAGACACGCTAGTTACCCTCAGTGGGGCAATATCCCAGGATGGAGATGGCTGTGTGGAAAACTACCAAGTTTATCCCAGAAAAGCCATCTCCCTTCTTCTACCTGCTCTTTTCCACTCACTGTCTCCAAATGTCAATGATGAAGAGCTGAGAATGGATGTCCTGCATGTGCTCCCTTCCCTTCCTGTCACCTCCACTGGGATAGGGGCACAGGGACAGTGTGCAGAGTGAACACCGCTCCAGGAGGGAACGAGGAGGACAACCAGGCAAGGTGACAAAGCAAGGTGGGACTGAGCTCTGGACCGTCTCCGTCGTCTCCTTTGTCGGACATGAGGATGTTTGTGCTGTGGGTGTGTGTCAAGTAATAAAGCCAAGCGACAAGGACCGAGTACTTCATTCCCAGCCCGGTCTCTTGTGCAAGAGTCACTGAAGCCAGGGGACTGCTCATGAGGCATGTAGGAGCTGGTCAAACTGGTCAACAAGCCTCCTGTGTTGGGGAGAGCAAGGAGGACGCTCATCCTCCCTGCACCCAATCGCCCCAGGACCCCTTCCAGGGCAGGGCACCCAAGGAGCATCGAGCCAAGGTTGTTAATCCGTAACCAGAGCGCTTTAATAAGAAGAAAAAGGAATTAGTGTAGGGCTGGTGGCTGCTGCCAAACTGTGGCTTTAGTGTCCCTCCTGGTACTGGCTTTATGGCTGTCATTTCATTCCAGCTTTACTGCTGTTTTTTGCCCTTATCTCCTAGTTTCTCCTTGGCTCCTGCTGCCTGTGATTGAATGGGCCTTTTAGGGCCGTAAGCACCAAATTACCCTGTCCTGGCTCCCGTGTGCTAGCCACAGATAAGTCGCCTTCTTTCCACATCCCCAAATGTCCCTTCTGGCTTGCATTGGGGACTGATCCTCGTTTTGTTCCCCCTGCCCTGAGGTGGCTTCAGCTCCCCCGGATCTTTGTGTGGCCTCTCCAGTGTGGGGCTTTCTGCTTCCCCTTCCAAACCTGCCACGTTTCAGGTGTGGGAGGGCTCAGTCCATGGTCGGGGACCTGGCTTGGCAGGACAGGGGACACCTGCGGGGCTCGGAGGCAGCCGCGTCGCTCCGGCTTCTATCCGAAGGACCCGGCTGGGCACTAAAGGCAAAAAGCAATTAAAATTTCTAAGCAGATGCGAATCACTCTGGTGCCCTGCAGCAAGCGGCTCCGCGTTGCAGAGCACGGAGGAGGGCGCGGAGCGGCGTCTCCCGCTTGCCTTGGAGCTCCCCCATCCCTTGCAGATCCCCCCTCAGGGTCTTGCTTGAATGGAGCAGGGAATGGCCCCGTTTTCCCCCCAGAGTGCCCCTGCGGAGAGCAAAGGAGGTTGGTGACATGCTGATTAGATGCAAATGAGACCTGGTGCCACCTGGGCCCATCTGAGGCTCCTCACTTGCGTGCCGTGAAACACCCTCCTCAATACCCCCTGCTAAGCCAGACTTGATGCATAAAAGCCAAAGGGGCATTTGCAGCCCGTTTGCTTTGGGAGCTTGGTCCCTTACTTAGTATGTCCATAATTCGGGGCCAATGTCCCCATTTGCCCCAAAACACCGCTGCCACCTTCTCAATTACCACCCCTGGGCTCAAGGGATCTGGCCATTTCCAGCAGCTTCTGCTGCGTTTTGGGAACAGCGCGACCCCTGCTCCGTCAGAACCTGACAGATCCCACTGGAAGTGGCCGTGGCAGAAAGGAAAGGACCCCGGGCTCCACCAGGGATAACACCTCCACCCGCCGGGACCAGCCGATGCGCCGGGGACTTGCAATGATTATGATAAAGCCTGCGGTACAGCGAGGGCATCGCTGTGATTTGTGCTGTCTAAATGTTAATCAGAATAATAATGCCTATTGAGACAGCTGTTTTAAAAGGCTGTGCTGTCGGAGTAAAAATTCCAATAAAACTCTATTAGCCCTTCCTCGTTACACTAATGGTGCCTGCTGCTAAAAGCCCCCTGCTATAGACACCCGTATTAATGGGCTTATTACAGGAAATAAAATCTAAGGCTCAACATTACAGTGAAGCCTGATTAATTCAGCAAGGTAATCTTTTTTTTTTTTTTTTCCCTCCTCACTCCTCTTTTCCTTTTTCTTTTTTTTTATCTCCTTTATTTAATGAACGCAGTCCTTGAAGTGCCAACTTTTGAGCTCTGCTTGGAGTTGGGTGACAATTTTAAACTTATTTTGTTCAAAAAGACATTAATCTTCGCCTGGGCTCGCAGCCTGCGCGGGAGGAAAGGCTTCCTGTGGGCATTTGTCAGGCTCTGGAAGAGAAGAACCAGGCCAGGAGCGGGGACGTGGCTGGGAAGGGGAGACAACACAGTCCGGACCGTGGTCCTTGCAAGGGCTGCGTGGTGGCACTG